GGCCCGGTACCCCATACTCCCGGAGAACCCCCCACAAGGCCCCCCTTGGGACACGGTCGAACGCCTTCTCCAAGTCCACAAAACACATGTGGACCGGTTGGGCGAACTCCCATGAACCCTCCAGGAACTTTAAAATTTCTAAGTGAAATTTGTGTCTGTGTGGCAGCGACCACATGTTGTTTGTTTACCTACGGAAACACAAAAAGTGACAAAATAGTTTAACCGTGTTAGTTTAGCTCCACAGTCTAACCTTGTTTCATCACACAACCCCAGCAGGTGCTCCACAACCTAACGGGTTACATATTTCAGTGCAACACCTCGTGCACTTGCTGGCCGGGATCCAGACCGGGTTTCACCGGGTCGTATTTTGGTTTCACCCAGAAGCATCCAGCTGCTGATGTGTGAGTGTCAGACCCACAGCCAGCATCAGATTGTCATCACTCTGTTTTAAAACAAGAGTCAGAACAACAACACACAGCTGATTGCGACACCGTGCTGTGCAGCTTGACAAACGTGACCTCAACTTCCTGAGTTAGTTTCCTGATTAAGCAGGCGCTTGTTGTTGGACTTATTTTATTGTGATCATTAAATAAAACTAGTTAAGGTCTGATGTGACAAACAGAACTCACAACCTGCAGCTTGATGATGCTCTGCTCATGTGGGAGGAAGTGGCCCAACTCAAACCTCACCACGACCTCCAACCTAACCCACTTCCTGAGGGTTAACCAGATCTGTGTTTTTAGAAATACAAACTTAAAAAAAAGATACTTTTACTTGGTTTGGAGCAAAGCTGATGTTCTCAGGAGGAGCTGGTAAAAATCACTCAAATCAGTCAGAACTTTAGATTTATTTAACTTATAAAGAAGTAAATCAGTCCTGAAAGCAACAGGTAACCAGTGTTGAGTCTTTAAATTGGTGGGATTTGTACTCACATTTATGACATTTCAGAATGATTGTACTTTTTATACAGTTTTCTTTAAAAAAATAACATGAAAAGAGAATTACAGTTAGGGCTGGGCGGTATGGCCAAAATTTTAAATCACGGTATTTTCAACATTTACACCGGTTTGATGGTATTTGATGGTATTTTTCTTTTCATCACAGCTCAGCTGATAATAAAATGTACAAACACTGCTTATTAACTTTTTTCTTTTACTGTACCTCTCTCTGTGTCGCTGTTTCCCTCCTCTATGTGTCTTTTCTCCTCCTGGTTGGAGACAGTAGTCATGCATTTTGGTCCGGTCGTGAAGGAGGAGGGTTACGAAAAGTTTATAATCTGGTCTATTGTTTTATGTTATTTAATAAAGATTATCAGCACGACTCACCTCGCACACCATTTAGCCCTGTGTTAATGCTAGCATTAGTGTTAGCTCAGCGTTAGTGTTAGTGTTAGCTCAGTGTTAGTGTTAGCTATGCATTAATGTTAGTTTGACCTTAACATTAGCATCGTGTTAGTGTTATGTTGACGTTTAGTTTTAGTTGGCATTAGCATTAGCTCAGTGTTACTGTTAGCTTGGCATTATTGTTAGCTCCCTGTTAGCTCCAAATTTGTGTTAGTGTTAGCCCCGTGTTAATGTTAGCATTAGCTCCACATTAATGTTAGCTCCATCCATGTTTGTGTTAACGCCACATTAGCACTAGTGTTAGCGCTGTGCTAGTGTTAGCTCAGCATTAGTGTTAGCTCAGCGTTAGTGTTAGCTATGCATTAATGTTAGTTCATCCTTAGCATTAGCATCGTGTTAGTGTTATGTTGACTTTTAGTTTTAGCTTGGCATTAGCATTAGCTCAGTGTTAGTGTTAGCTTGAAGTTAGTGTTAGCTCAGTGTTACTGTTAGCTTGGCATTAATGTTAGCTCCTTTTTGGCATTAGTGTTAGCTCCCTGTTAGCTCCAAATTTGTGTTAATGTTAGCCCTGTTTTAATGTTAGCATTAGTGTTAGCGCTGCGTTAGTGTTAGCTATGCATTAACATTAGTTCGACCTTAACATTAGCATCGTGTTAGTGTTATGTTGACGTTAGTTTTAGCTTGGCATTAGCATTAGCTCAGTGTTACTGTTAGCTTGGTGTAAACTTTAGCTCCCTGTTAGCTCCAAATTTGTGTTAGTGTTAGCCCCGTGTTAATGTTAGCATTAGCTCCACATTACTGTTAGCTCCATCCATGTTTGTGTTAATGCCGTGTTAGCATTAGTGTTAGCTCCAAATTAGCGTTAGCTCAGCATAAGCATTTGTGTTAGCTCTGCAGCCCAGTGACCCATACGTCACTAATCACAGTAAATGCAAAGTGCCAAAATATTAATTGGTGTCAGTTTTTCTGATGATTATTTGAACATGATGATTTTTGTCAAACCTTAGTTAAGATTTCTGTTTCATCTTGATTAAAGCTGCAAGAAATTATATTTTTCTCTTTAAAGATGGTCATTTTAAGCTGTCTTAGTGAAGAGTTGTATTAAAAAAAAACTTAAGAGGAAGGAGTCATTAATAAGACCATAGCTCTGCAAACAAAGACAAAAAATTTCTTCTTTATGAAATAAATATTTTCATTATGTTGAAACATTACAAAAGTTTTCTCCTGTTTGTGCATCAAATCATAAAACAAGAGTCTAAAACTTTTAATTTGTTCCTGAGTTGCAGCTGAATGTGAGGGAGTGTCTCCGAAATCAAATATAAAATAAAATAAAAACACACGCAGCTCTTTTCATCTACATTTGACAAAAAGCAGCAGCAGCTCTGTAATTTATCACTGCTAATAAATCGCTTTATTCTGGATGTTCTGAAGCCCGCTGACGAGGCTTTGAAGGTTTGGTGCGAGGGATGGTGTCATCGGTGCGAGCAGATCTTGGCACGACATCACTTCCTGTGTCTTTGGAGTGACAAACAAAGGCTTCACGAGCAGAAAGAGCTACACAGAGTTTACAGCAACTGCTTTTAATCACGTCCCCCCCACTTTTACACTCCCGCCCCTCCGTTTTGGATAAGTGCCCCACGGGACCGCCGAGTTCAACATGGCTCCCCTGACCCGGTTCTGAACTTCCCCGGACCTCGTCTAAATGACAGAAATCACAGGATGATGAGCAGATTACTGGCACAGGTTCACGTCAGCCTCGGCTCTTTGGGTTTACTTTGTGCTGATAAAGTTCTGGCACAAGACGAGAGACGAGACATCTGCAGCCTTCCTGCACACGACGACATCTTTTTACACTTACACATTTATGCTTTAGTGAAATGTAATTATTTAGACTTTATTTTGCAAGTCTTTGTTTATTCATTTAAATGTTAGTATTTTTTCCTTTAATGAGAACTTGCACAACAGAAGTTCTTTTTTTGTCACTTCAGTAGAAAACAAAACTAAATATTAGTTTATTTAGTTTATTTATTTCTTCATCATCAGTGACTTTTTTTAAGTGAAGATGGATAGAAAGAAAGATTGAAATAGCGATTAGAAGTATATTAAATATACACCAACAAAACACAGGAC